AGAGAAGCGAGGAAAGACAGTCTAACACCAGTTTTAAAGGAGGCCAACCAGCCTCGTAAAATAAAATAATAATGTTAAAAATGATTGCAGAAACTTCAGAGATGTTTTTATAAGAGAGGAGAAGGCCACAACATTTAGCTCGAAATGAAAGTAAATTCAATAAAAAATAGAGTCCAATTCTTGGATCATCATTTGCCTGAGGTCCACGTATAATGTTAGCAAAGGCTTTATGAGCCTTTCTGACCGTTAGCATGAAGCAGACTGCATGTGAAATGAGATTACAATATTATATTTCATAAGACAGTCCATTCTAAGCTGAGTCACACAAATCGTTAAAGGGAAAGTTCACCCAAAAATAAATATTATTATTTAAAAAAAAATAATAATAATTGAGTTTTGTTTTGGACCCCATTAACTTTCATTTTCTACAAAAAAAAAAAAGAACAACAAAAAAAAAAAAACAGCTGAAACATTCAGAATATCAATTTAGCTTTAGACTGAAAAGATCATTGATATGCTATTATAGTTTTTGTTAATATCTTGAATTTATATACACAAAAAAAAAAAAGGTACAAAAGTTGTCACTGGGGCTGTACCTTTTCAAAAGGTACACTTTTGTACCTAAAGGCTGCATATTGGTACCTTAATGGTACATTTTAGCACCTAAAATGTACAGGTAACTCTAACAGCATATACAATGTACATTTTAGCACCTAAAATGTTCATATTAGTACCTAAAATGTTCATATTAGTACCTAAAATGTACACAATAGCATCTAAAATGTTCATATTAGCACCTAAAATGTACACAATAGCACCTAAAATGTTCATATTAGCACCTAAAATGTACACAATAGCACCTAAAATGTTCATATTAGCACCTAAAATGTCAACCCGGTCTCACCCCAAGACGTCATATAACTGACGTTTTGGGACGTCTTTTGACCATACGTCAATATTCGCCTTTTTAGGGCCCCCTTAAACGTCGGTAGATGAGGTTATGGGATCCTAACTCTACCCCATACCTAAACTTAACCCTAAACCTAACCCGTCACCTAACTGACGTTAAAGGTAAAGCGTCAGTTGTATGACGGCCCGGGATCGCCATCTACCGACGTTTAAGGGTACCCTAAAAAGGCGGATATTGACGTATGGTCAAAATACGCCCCAAGACGTCAGTTATATGACTTTTTGGGATGAGACTGTGTTAAAAATGTACACAATAGCACCTAAAATGTTCATATTAGCACCTAAAATGTTCATATTAACACCTAAATATAGATAATATCACTTAAATGTACATAGTAGCCCCTAAAATTTACATATTATAACATAATAGCACATATTAACACATAATAGCAGTACATAATAGCACCTAAATGTACATATTAGCCCATAAAATGGAAACATTTTACCTTTTGAAAAGGTTTTGCCCCAGTGACAGCTTTTGTACCTGTTTTTTTCCTGAGAGTTATTGAAGTTAAAAATAACTTTTTTCTAACTTTTATTTTTCTATTTTAATTTATTTAGTTTCTTATAGTTTTTATTGAGTTTTAGTTCTTACTTAAACTAAACAAAAATGATAAATACAATTTATTGAGAGTTCCCCTGGACGTATGGTGTTGGAAATATTTATCTATCTGTCAAACGTCAGACAATTGCGGAAGCACAATAATAATGCATGTTTTCTCAGTGCAGTGAACTAAAGTAAATGTGATCTTTAATGTGTTAATTAGAAGAGTCTTCGGCTGCTGTACCGTATACGTCTCAGTCAGAATGAAAAGCTGCTCGAGGCGGCACGCTTTATATATGTTCCCTCGTAATCTTTAGAGTTCAATTTGTTACATTTGTTGCTCCAATTAATCAGTCGGATCCTGATAATGCCCACCTAAGGTCATACATGTGTTGGGGAGAGGTGAAACCCCGGCTCTGTCTGGAGATTAATCATGTTTGGGACGGAGGGAACGGCTCTAGGCATGAGTGGCTCTCAGTGGGTCGAAGATGATTAATTGGCCACTTGTTGAGTGCGGCGAGGAGAAGGGACTGGCCAGGACACACATCATAAACCACAATGCAAAAACTCAATGCATTGGCCACAGTGTCTCTCGCTCTCTCTCTCTTTCCCTGGAGTAAAACGGTCCCATTGGGAGATCGGTCTCACCTCGAGGTTTTCACCCCAGAACCACGGTTTTAATGAGTCTCCAGATGAAAATGTGTTGAGATGCATCTCAGGCCGAGGGGAAAGGTGGCAATTTGTGTTAAATTTGTGTTGAAGTGGACCGATTATGCTTTTTAGTGTGTGATGAACTCCTGAAACGCCTCCATTGTAGCCTTGAGTTTCTTCAGGGAATGAACACGTCACAATATTCCTCATTATAATAATCCACACTGTAAAAATGAATACGCTATATCTAATCAATAAAATTGTGACAACAGATTACAAGCAATATTAGTAATTAAATTTAACAAATTAGAACTGAGTAATTATGAATCTAATTAATTCCTTAAAAGGGAAATAGTAAAATTTACACAAAAAATCAGATAGACGTCAAAGATGAATAAAGAAGTCTTTATTTTATATTGCCAATATCGAAGACACCTGATGTCAACAAGCCGAATCGCTGAAGGAGAAAACCATCATTGTAAGTCACCATTGTGATGATCAGTGTTTGTTTTAGTTGAGTCATTCACTTTAAGTTTTGTTTGACCTGAGTTATAACAGTCAGATGAACAAATAGAAAAGGTTATCTGATGAATTATCTTATAATTTTTTTTCACAATCAATTGACTGGTTAACTTTTGATTAATTATTACTCAATTCTAATTTATTAAATTGAATTAATAATATTGCTTGTAATATGTTGACACAATTTTATTGCTTAGATATAGCCTATTAGTTTTTCATGATTTATAATCACAACATCAGCTTAGATAATTTATGTAGTTCAGATAACATAATATTTTGAGTTTCTAGTGAATAAATTAATCTCCTTCATTGTTTTCCATTTCAATGAACTTAAAATTTGAAGGCAACCAGGTTACATATTTTTTAAGTTAAACCTACAATATTTTTATTTACAGTGTGAGTGAAAATTGTTCTTTTTTGCGTGTTTAAACGGGGGTGTTTAGTAATAAATGTTGAGGACCATTACCTTCATTTATGAGCAAGCGCTTTGCTAATTCAGAGACATTTTAATGGATGATGATGAGGATGATGTCTTTGCTTCATAAAACCTCCACTTTCTCCAAATATCAAGACACTTAAACTCGCCAAAGCGAGGAACACTCCAGAGGATACAATTAAAGCAAGGCGACGCTCATTTGTCAATTTGCTCATGCCTTTCAAATTGATCACATTTCTTCTCCTTATAGTGCGGAAAGCCATTTGCCAAAGAAAACAGATGGTTCTTCTTTTTAAAACTTGGGGATTCACCTGAAGACGTTTAATGATCAAAGCATCCATACTGCATAAATAACACCAACTATAGTGAAAAAGAGAGGATCGGTGGATGTTTAAGGCTTCTGTGATTATACATATAGCACATCCAGAACAGTAGATGGCAGAGGTGGACTATATTTTAATAAAAGTGGCCATGCTTGTCTTCTTCTCTCATCTCCGACACATGGTGTTTCTCTCTTATATAAGAATGCAGTGTGTTTTATGCTTCTCTTATCAGCGCTCCTCCTGCCCCCGGATTTAATCATATCTCGAAAAGTGCCTCTGATCTGGCTTTGATCACTGACCTAATTAATAGAGCAATTGATTACATGTAAATATCAGATTAGCTATGCAAATGTCCTCGTTTAGAAGTTATGAAGGATAAAGGAAGATCTGACACCAAACACGGCTCAAACCACTCAAGGGAAACGAGATGAAACTATAGTTGGACTTGGTTTTATTCAGTGTGGATGTAAAATAACAGAATGGATCAGCAGATGTTTGACGAATTCATGATTATATTATACCCTTTATATGACCTAATTCACAAATGTACAAATGCTAAATCATGTTTTTTATGTTTATTTTTTCATGCAATGAATTGAAACTGGAGCTCCTAAGTTGCAAAAGAAGCAGAAAAGGTCCATCATACGATATATTCCAAATATTCATAGACTCATAATATTTTTGTGTGATGAACCGACCCGAGAGCTGCGTTTGCAAATTGAGTTCAAGAACGCGATCGTTCAGGCCGGTTTCGTGAACCGATTCATTAAACGATTCGTTAAACCACTTACACACTGTAAAAAATAAACCGTAAATTTTACGGTAAAAAAACGGCAGCTGTGGTTGCCAGAACTTCACCGTTAAAAATACGGTAGGAACGTTAATGGTTTAACAGACTTAACTTAAAATTTACAGTAATAAACCGTATTTTATTTTCTGATAAAATGTTGATTTACCAACTTATTGATATCTGTTTTAGACCATTGTAATACACTGACAACCATCAATCATCACAGCAGTGATGAGAGTTACTTGAGCAATCACAGCCCATCATAAGTGATCACTTATTTAAGTAATACTTATATAAAGAAGCTTCACAGTGTCATTCACACAAACATTAAACACCATCATGGTACACTCTTAAAAATGCTGGGTTGTTTTAACCCAACTTTGGGTCAAATATGGACTAACCCAGCCGTTGGGTTAAATTTTTACATTACATTTTTAACCCAACATTTTAGGTTTGTCCATATTTGACCCAAAATTGGGTTAAAACAACCCAGCATTTTTTAGAGTGTAATTAAAAAATGCAATAAACATTAATTTAACAACATTGTGACAAAAACCCCTAATGTACATAACTGATTAGAAAAAAACAATAAAACTATGAGGAACTATAGTTATTTCAACAAAAATACATCAAATGTGAAGTGTCACACAGGGAATTGTGGGAATGTCAATTTACGGTTTTTCACTGTAAATTATACAACGATTTGTTCTTTTTCACTTTCAAAAACTGTATATTATTGTGAGGAATAGATGGGAGGATGCAAGATGCAAATAAACTCAGTTTATTGGTTGGTCAGAAATGACAAATGTAAGACACAGATCGGGGACAACACTCAGGTGGTGGGTGAAGCAGGGACGAGATGGCGATCCGGTGGTGAAGACAGGTGAAGACGTGCTCGAGTGAAACCCAGGGAAGTGGAACATCCAGAAGACACGAGGAACTGATGAAATCCAGGAAACACGAAGTACTGACGAAATCCAGAAGAGTCACAGACGAGGCACGAGCACAGGAACACACCGAAACACAACCACAACGATCTGACAACAAGAGGGAGAAAATGCTGGGTATATATAGGGACTGAAATGAATGGCAGCTGGTGACACTAATCAACACAACGAGTAACCACACCCACACGATTACACTCACACAGACACATCAGCCTGAGACAGCTGATTCATGAACCGTGACAGTACCCCTCCTCCTAAGAACGCCTCCTGGCGTTCTCAGACTCCCTTACCTGTCGATTGTAATCATCAATAAGGGAGTGATCCAGGATGTCTCTAGCAGGTACCCAACTTCTCTCCTCCGGACCGTAGCCCTCCCAGTCCACCAGGTACTGAAATCCGCGTCCCCTCCGTCTCGAGTCCAGAATACGATTTACCGAATATGTTGGTTCCCCATCTACGAGTCGCGGCGGGGGGGAACCGGGGCAGGCGGATTAATGTGAGAACGAAACACGGGTTTAATTTTAGAGACATGAAAGGCGGGATGAATTCTCCTGTACGCAGGAGGAAGTTTGAGGCGGACTGTCACCGGACTAATAATCTTGGTGACAGGAAACGGGCCAATAAATTTGGGAGCTAGCTTGTTAGACACGGAGCGGAGAGGAATATTCTTGGTAGAAAGCCACACTTTTTGACCCACGACGTAGACGGGAGGCTTTGACCGGTGGCGATCGGCCTTGGCCTTCATGCGCCTCCCTGCTTGGAGTAGAGTCTCACGGGCTCTAGTCCAAGTACGGTGGCACCTCTGGACGAATGCGTGAGCGGAGGGGACCGCGACTTCGGATTCCAGACTCGGAAAAATTGGTGGCTGGTAACCTAAACTACACTTAAATGGCGAGAGGCCCGTGGATGACACTGGTAACGAATTGTGGGCGTACTCCACCATAGAAAGTTGTTGGCTCCAGGACGACGGATTCTTAGCAACCAAACATCGCAACATTCTTTCGAGGTCTTGATTGGCTCGCTCAGATTGTCCATTACTCTGGGGATGATAGCCCGAGGACAGACTGACCGTGGCCCCCAGTAACTTACAAAATTCTTGCCAAAATTTGGATATGAATTGGGAACCCCTGTCAGAGACCACGTCCATCGGGAGGCCATGTAACCGAAAAACGTGATCTATGACAGTAACCGCTGTCTCCTTGGCTGAAGGTAATTTGGGCAAGGGGATGAAATGAGCCGCCTTCGAGAACCGGTCCACTACGGTTAAAACAACCGTCATGCCATTGGAGGGCGGGAGGGCGGTGATAAAATCTAGAGCGATGTGGGACCAGGGTCTCGAAGGGACAGGCAGTGGTCGAAGTAACCCATCTGGGGGTTGGTTAGATGTCTTACTAGTGGCACAGACTGAGCAAGCCAACACAAAATCGTGAATGTCGCGAGCCATCAGTGGCCACCAAAATCGTTGTTTAACTAGAAAACTGGTGCGAGTCACTCCTGGATGACAAGCCACGTTGGAGCAATGACCCCACCGAATAACGTCGGACCGTAACCCCTCCGGAACAAACAATCGACTCGGTGGGCAACCGGGCGGAGGCGTTACCCCATCTAAGGCTGTCATGACCTTCGATTCGACCTCCCATACCAGAGTGGAGATGACAACCTTCTCAGGTAAAATACACTCGGGAGTCACCGGGCGTTCGGATGGATCAAAAATACGAGATAAAGAGTCGGGTTTGATGTTTTTGGACCCGGGGCGGTACGAGAGAACAAAATCAAAGCGTCCGAAAAAAAGAGCCCACCGAGCCTGCCTGGAGTTGAGTCTTTTAGCAGTTCTGATGTATTCAAGATTCTTATGGTCGGTCCAAACAATAAAGGGTACCCCGAACCCTCTAACCAATGACGCCATTCCTCCAACGCTAACTTAACTGCCAACAACTCTCTATTACCAATGTCATAATTACGTTCGGCAGGCGATAGTCGATGAGAAAAAAACGCGCAGGGATGCAACTTGTCGTCTGAGGAAGCGCGCTGTGAAAGTACTGCTCCTACTCCCACCTCTGACGCATCGACCTCCACCACGAACTGACGTGTGGGATCAGGGGTGACAAGAATGGGAGCCGAAACAAAGCGACTTTTGAGGTTGGTGAACACTGCCTCAGCAGTGTTTGACCACCTGAACGTCGTTCGGGGGGAAGTCAAGGCAGTCAGAGGCGCGACTAGTTGGCTGAAGTTACGAATGAAACGTCGGTAAAAATTGGCGAACCCCAGAAACCGCTGTAGGGCCTTACGGGAATCTGGACTTGGCCAATCTACCACAGCCTTAACCTTGTCAGGATCCACGCGCACTCCCTCAGAAGAGATGATGTACCCTAGGAAGGGAACAGACTGTGCATGAAACGAACATTTCTCCGCCTTGACAAAAAGCCCATTCTCCAACAGTCTCTGGAGCACTCGTCTGACGTGTTGCACGTGTTCCTGGAGAGACGAAGAAAAAATCAATATGTCATCCAGGTAAACATATATGAACTGGTCTACCATGTCTCTCAACACGTCATTAACGAGTGCCTGGAAAACCGCTGGGGAGTTGGACAGACCGAAAGGCATGACCAAATATTCAAAGTGCCCCCTAGGGGTATTAAAAGCGGTTTTCCATTCATCCCCCTTCCTGATGCGGACCAAATGATATGCATTACGTAAGTCCAGTTTCGTGAAAATAGATGCTCCCTGCAACCTCTCGAAAGCTGAAGACATCAACGGCAAAGGGTATGAATTCTTTACCGTGATGTTGTTCAGCCCTCGGTAATCAATGCAAGGTCGCAGAGAACCATCCTTCTTCCCAACGAAAAAGAACCCCGCCCCCGCAGGAGAAGAGGAAGGCTGGATGAACCCAGAGGCCAGAGAATCAGAAATATATTTCTCCATGGCCTCCCTCTCGGGAATAGAAAGAGAGTAAAGTTTGCCTTTAGGCGGAGATTTACCTGGCAGTAGCTCTATCGCACAGTCATAGGAACGATGCGGAGGAAGAGAAGCAGCACGAGACTTACTGAACACCTCCTTCAGGTCGTGGTACTCCGCGGGCACGTTAGATAAATCCGCTACCTCACTCTGAAACACAGAACCAGACACAGATGGACAGGCAGACACTAAACAGGACTCATGACAGTGGTTACTCCATGTGGAAACAGTGTTAGTGCACCAGTCGACCCGGGGGTTGTGTCTGGAAAGCCACGGGTGACCCAAAACCACTGGTGCAAGTGGTGAGTCCATGAGAAAAAACGAAATGAGTTCAGTGTGATTTCCGGAAGTGATGAGAGTAATGTCTTCAGTAACGTGAGTGATGCGGGGAAGTTCTTGACCATTGAGTGCGTTGACGATAATCGGGTGCGAGAGGGGTGTGACGGGGATCTGAAGTCTATGTGCTAGTCTGAAGTCCATGAAATTACCCTCCGCTCCCGAATCCAGAAGTGCGCTGGTGCAGTGCGTTGATTGTCGCCATCTCAGTCTTACCGGGAGGAGGGTTGATGTTGATGAGGTCTTCTCGGCGGAGATCCCACCCGATAGTAGCCTCATACTTACTACCGGGCTTGCTCTTTTACCGGGCAGGAGTGGATGAAGTGGCCCGCCCGGCCACAGTAGAGACAGAGTCCTTGGGATCTCCGCCTCTCCCTCTCCTCCCGGGAAAGCCGAGCTCTCCCCACCTGCATGGGTTCGTGGTCGTTTGTGGGGCTGACCGCGCTCGCACCACCGGGTTGGTGGTCCTCTGCGCCAAACACTGGGCGGCTGGGGCGCGTCAGTCTGGCTACACGATTCAGTCGAGCGTCCACTCTCAGCGCAAGTTCCACCAGTCCATTCAGTGTCTCAGGTAAATCCATAGCATAGATCTCTCTTTGAACGCGGTCAGCCAACCCATGCAGGAACATATCCCACTGCGCCGCCTCGTTCCAACGGCACTCTGCGGCCAGGGTGCGGAACCGGATGGAAAAGTCCGCCACCGAGCCTTCTCCTTGTCGCAGCTCGGCGAGTAATCTGGCCGCCTCCTTACCCGCCACTGCACGGTCGAACACTCTCTTCATCTCCTCGGAGAGTGCCTGGAACGAGGCGCAGCAGTCGTCCTTGTTCTCCCACACCGCCGTCCCCAAAGCGATGCTCTTCCTGACAGCAGGGTTAGCACAAATGCCACCTTCGCCTCTTCGCTCTGGAAGGTGTGTGGCTGTAAGGCAAAGTGCATAGAACATCTAGTGAGAAATGCTCTGCAAAACTCAGGCTCACCGGAATATCCCTCAGGTGTGGGTAGGCGTGGCTCTGATCTCCCCGCTGCTGCAGGCGCTGGTGGTGGGAGGACGGGCGGCGTGGGGGCGCAGTGGGAGTCCGTAAAAGCTGTACCTGTTGGGTGAGCTCGGACACCTGCTTCACGAGTGCTTGCACCGCACGACCTGTGCCAGAGATATTCTCCTCCTGTTGATCCATCCTTGCGATACTGTGAGCGATGAAGTCATTGATCTGTGATGAATTTGCTGCATCCATGGTTTGGTCAGATCGTTCTGTGAGGAATAGATGGGAGGATGCAAGATGCAAATAAACTCAGTTTATTGGTTGGTCAGAAATGACAAATGTAAGACACAGATCGGGGACAACACTCAGGTGGTGGGTGAAGCAGGGACGAGATGGCGATCCGGTGGTGAAGACAGGTGAAGACGTGCTCGAGTGAAACCCAGGGAAGTGGAACATCCAGAAGACACGAGGAACTGATGAAATCCAGGAAACACGAAGTACTGACGAAATCCAGAAGAGTCACAGACGAGGCACGAGCACAGGAACACACCGAAACACAACCACAACGATCTGACAACAAGAGGGAGAAAATGCTGGGTATATATAGGGACTGAAATGAATGGCAGCTGGTGACACTAATCAACACAACGAGTAACCACACCCACACGATTACACTCACACAGACACATCAGCCTGAGACAGCTGATTCATGAACCGTGACAATTATAAACTAAAAATTATATCACAGTTATTTACCGTATAAAGTACGGAAACTTTCTGTTAACGAATTAACAGTTTTGCACTGTAGCACTTTTAATGTTAAAATCACGGATATTTTTTACAGTGTGTAGCTTTCCGTGAATGTTGTTGGCTCGTGATGAATCGCTTTGGATAATCATCTCAAATCATGGAGGAGGATGAGGAGGATGAGGAGGGCGAGGGACTCGGGGTCCTGATGTGGGCAGAAAATAATGGAAAGGCAGAGAAGCTTAAAAAGGTAATCTTTCTAAAATGACTTGATTTTTTCCAGCAAGCCTTTGGCCGGCACTTCTAGCGATCGTCTGTGTCTGCCACAGCCCTTTCTGCACTGGAGAGTACAGGGATTAAGAGAGAAAGAGGCCCAAATGGACACAGATGCACTGGGCCGGACAGACTGAGTCAAACACGAGACACTTCACATGTTTGCTCAGATTTCA